AAATTGTGTGATGCTATAGAATTTATAGGGATATAACAGTGATGTAAGATTAAGGTATGGACCACGAGGGGAATTAGAATCGAGATAAATCCTCATGATCCGATGAACCGTACCTTCTCTATTGCACTCTTAAGATGGCATGCACTTGTACTAATCAATCCGCTGCACACATACATACATAGATGCATGGGGATTTGCCATGCAAAGAAACAAATGCACTTCTCTTACTCACGTATCATATGTAGCCATATATGTGAAACTTGAGAAAACGTGCGAGTCAAAATTTGAAATTTGTTTTTATATGTACATATGATGACAAAAGCAAAGCTTTCATTAGAATAGACATGTCGTGTTCTCTGCCGATTCTGCATCCACCTTCCAAGTTTACTCTTAGATTGCTATGCTCATTTTTATTTTCTTTGAATCTTCCACCATACCCATTCCAATTTAAAAAAACTACTCCAATTTGTGTTCGAAGTTTTGAACTTAATTTCGAATTATTTATCATTCACTTTTGACTATATAACATATATATGCATATTTTTTATTGCAACTATTAAAACCAAACTACTTGATTTTAGGCGTAAAAATTATGCGGTTTTATCATTAGATCTTATGCACTTTTATTCACATGCATGTTTTGCCGTAAAAAATCGTAAGAATTGTAGAATCTTCGCAAAACTGCGGAAGTGCGTGATTTCTTTTGTTTTTACAATGTTGCTATTTGATATGAATGGCATCATTTATTTTCTGATACTATATATTTAACTAAGGATTACCCATGCGTTGCATGAAATTTAATAATTAACATAGTAAATTATGCAACAATTTATAGTGTATTGATTATTTATGTATTTAATATCATATACATTTGATGTTTATAGTAAATAACTATCTAAGTTAAAAATTAAGCATTTGTAACAAATTGTTGGACATATACAATGTTATATGCAAAATCAAATAGACCGTCACAACATATGAAAAACATATTCTTTGAGACAAATCTTTAACATGTATGTCTTTATTAATTTTCATTACGGTTTTCTAAAAAAATGATTACTCATAATTTTCATTAATGAGACTACTTATAGTATGTTTTGCTTCAACTGAAACATTTGTATAATCTCAACAAAGGTGTTGGAATGCATATTTTTGTTTATTTCATAAAAAGCTTGAATCATAAATCATGAATAATTGATGTTTGATTGTATTTGTGTCCTACTTTATTTGTCGATTTGCTGTGATTTTTATCTTTCACATCAATTCATTGGTGACGTGATTCTGTTATTCTGAATTTACAATTTTTGGTGGAGTAAGGTTTTCTGTCGAGAGTCGTGGTTATGAGTTTTACTTTTTTCAACACAAATTATTTTATTTTCATTAGGAGTTGATTGGTAATTTGGCTATGAAAGCATTTGAAAGAACGTTAAACGTCAGAATTTCTCAAATTAGACTTTTATTTTTTAACAAGCTTTAAAATTCTAAAATCGTGCTTTAAATGTCTCACATAATCTTTTTTTCGTTTTTGTTCATGTTATACTTTTTTTATTAAAACTTCTTTTCTGTATCTTTACTTTTATAATCACAGTTACCTATTTAAAATCCAAAGTTTTAAACGTGTTTTGTATAGTATATTGTTGAAGTTGATAAATAAAATATATATTTTTAATACATAATATAATTATGTAGATTAATGTACACAAGACACTTTATTATAATTTGTTTAAATTAATTTACATAAGAATCAACTATTAAATTGAACTAATTGCTAAAGTTATTAAAAGACATTTAATTTTTTATTTTTCTTTAATAAATAAATTAAAAAGCTAAATGTCCAAAAAATATATTACACATGACAACTTCTCGTAACTTGAATTTTGAGAAACCTTAATATAGCATATAAATTAAAAATTCAAATGTCAAAAAAATAGATGACTTATTAAAAGACATTTAATTTTTTATTTATTGTTC